AGAAAGAGACTCTTTCTCTGATTATATGATTTGAGCTCATCTTTATAACTCTCAGAGCATAGTTCATACAGGCCTTTTCAAATCTAATACCAGGAGGGGGAATTGAAGCTTCAATTTCCATTGCTTTAATAGGAGATGATTTGAATGCTCTCAGAATTCTTCTCAAAGCTCTGTTTTGCAGACTTTGAAAGAGTTCAGTGAAATTTCCTTGATTATTCCACTAAACTTGAACTCCATAATCAGCTACTGAGGTAATACAGGCTATATATAACTGTCTCATAGCCTGGAAGGAGGCGTACGCCTGTAATCATACGCTGGCTCAAACAACCTTTGAATCACAAATGTGAAGATGTCTATATATATCAAGTGAATAATCTTGATTATAATCTTATGTTAGAACTTGTCTGACTATCTGAATAAGATATTTTATTGAACACTTGAAACAGAAACTTAATATTCTCTAACAATGATAGAGTTTACAAAGATGACATTTATAAGACTATGAACCTGACACAGATCTCTGTCAATACCTATGAAATACTCTGAAAAAGAAGTTGCTGAAAAGATTATTAATAGCAGAATTATGTATCAATCTATTTCATCAGTCTGACTAATATCAAAAAAGCTCTAGAACAGTTATTTCATACTACAATAACAGATTCTTATATTAAATCCTCTTAATAATATTATAAATATCTAAATGTCTTCTGATAAGATAACATCATGAACATATCTCTCTTACAAGACTCAGAAGTGAATCACAGTATTAAGTCAGAAAGAAAGAATGATAAAAACTCTGAACTGCTATAAGACTCCCTTTATAACATGTCACAAGATGAACTTCTTCTTCAAAAGAGACTCAATGATCTGTTGAATAAAGAATTCATACATGTTAGAAACTCTTCTGCTACAGCCTCTATTCTCTTTGCAAAGAAATCAGATAAAGAACTTCAATTCTGTGTAAACTATTGAGAACTGAATAGATTAATAAAGAAAGACTGCTATTCTCTATCTCTTATCAATGAAATCTTAGCTTATATTAAACAAGCTTAATAGTTCACAAAGTTAGATATTATTACTGCATTTCATAAGATCTGCATCACTGAAGAAGATAAGTGACTTATAGTATTTCAAATACAATATAGTCTCTTTGAATGAGTAGTCACTCTCTTCAGACTGACTAATACTCTCAGTACATTTCAGAAGTATATTAACAGAGCACTCTGAGATTTTCTTGATAAATTTATATCTGTATATCTTAATGACATTCTCATCTTCACTGATGAGTTCGGGAAAGAATATCAAGAATATGTATAAAAGATATTACAATCACTATGAGAAGCAGAACTATTAATAGATATTGACAAGTGCAATTTTAAAGTCAAGAGTATTAAATATCTAAGTTTTATCATAGAAGCTGACAAGAGAATTCAAATGAATTCTGAGAAAGTTTCTGTCATTCTTGAATAAGAAGCTCTGTATACTGTGAAAGATGTACAAAGCTTCATCAGATTTGCTAACTTCTATCAGTGATTTATACAAAACTTCTCAGATATCATAAGATCACTTACAGAACTTATTAAGAAGAACTCAGTATTTCAGTGATCAGCAGACACTGAAGCTGTATTCACATAGATAAAGAAGATATTCATCATCATCTCTCTACTATTGATATTTAACTCTGGTTATAAAACAGTTATTAAAGCTGATTTCTCTGACTATGTCACAGAAGAAGCTATATTATAATATGATAATGAAGATGTCTTATAATTAGACTGGCCGGCAGGACCATGAATTTCACATTTGGTCCCATTTGGTCTGGTCTCATACATTTCTTGGCGTGAGTCTCATCAGAACCAAGCCTCAAAAAAATCTGAAAATGAACCATTTCTGAGAGAAATGGTGTGAAAAATAACCAGATTTAATTCAAGAACAGTGAAATGAGAGTAATTTCTCAGAATAAACTGTGAAAGATGATTATTCTTTCAAAATCAGAATGAGACTGAGACTGAAGATTAAAATCAGTTCTATTCAGTTCATTCAGTGATTGCTTATATAATCAGAATTTGATAACAATTATTGATAACACTCATGAAACAACTAAATACATTCTTGTGCAAGTTTATTCTTCACTTTCTCATGAAAACTACACTTCTCTGATATACTGTGATCAGAGGTAATAAACTGTCTGATAATTTCATGTTTTACAATCATGAGTTTCTTAATTATTTCTCCTTGTAATTGTCTCTGATGATAGTGATAAATATCTCAACTTGAGTTGAACTTTCACTTCATTCTCATCTCTGTCAATGAAATTGTCAGAATATCATGTGTCATCAGTGTAACAGTTGAATATGTACTCTCAACAATTTTTCATAACTCTAGAATTGATTTGATGTGTAAATTCATCAGATCATCTTGAAAATAGCAGTCAAATTCAGTTTTATAAGCATGTAGTTTTGCCTGATTTTCAGTTGCAATCAATGTATGCAAGTCCTGTTTCAAAGTTAGTATTATAGTTCTATGTGATATGAAGTGTTACCAAAGATTGTTACTTATTAGGGAATTGTATTCCACTATCTTCACATCTCAAACATCTGCTTATTCAAATCTCTGATAGTTGGCATTGTAGTAGTCTCAGCCTAATTTGACATATGAGTCTCATTCCTTCTCTGTTTAATCTTGAGAAGTGTAGATATTAACTCAACAGAAGAGATCTAGTAGAGCTGCTACAGCATAGTACTCTGCAAAAGATTGTTCAGTTTTACTGTAGTAATATGCCAGTTTATCTCTTACAGTAACAATAGCCTGCACTATAGCATTATCTCAGACTGAATTTCTTTTTGAGTGATTCAACTGCTTCTCAAGATGAGTAAATAAACTGTTATACACTCACCAGGCTGACTGCAGCATTGGTGTATGAGTGATTGAGACTGTCTTTGTTGTCTTATAAAACTGAAACAGTAAATCAATCACATATTTCAACTGAGTTCACTTCATATCAGAAAGTTTTAATATCTAGATCTTTTTCTAATCAGAGTGTTATACTCAATGATCAATTATCTGACACAATTGAAGAGTCTGAACAGTCATCTCATATGTTAAACTTCACTGTGTTCTAACATTCTGTATCATATTCAGTGATGTGACTGATTTATTTGTTTGTTGAATATCATGAAATCATTGTTATTGTTTAGAGGAGGTATAAATCACATTAGTAATGTTTTAAATCTGTGATATTTAAATTATTAGTCAATCTATTCAAAATTAACAGTAGCATTACTAAAAAGCATTATCAAAAAGCAATATCAAAAAGTGTTGTCAAAAAACATTATCTTTTGAAAAGTAGATGTAAAAGTTACTTGAGTAATCACTTTCATCTCATTCTCATCTCAAGAATCAGTCATCTCATTATTCTTTGTCTCAATGTTAAGATTCTTTATCAGTGTTTGCATCACAAGTTAAATTATATGAGCAATGCAGGGAATATGACCTTGTTTATCATTTCAGGAATGCAAAGCCAATTTTTACTTCAAGCTCTTCATTATAGTGTAGTTATTCACAGTATTGACAGTTATAATTGTAAGAAGACTGAGACTAATATCTCAATAGTCATTTTTAATCACAGTTATTAATATCTCTGTCATATAATCCTCAGAATGACTACTGATCAATAATTCAAATTCAATTAATGTCTCTTGATAAGTTCAGTTCTCATCAATGTAATAACATGTAACTCTTATAAATGCAAGATTATTTGTACTAGTTCATGCATTCACTGTGAGAGACACTCTTTGATGATTCTTCAACTCTGATTCTAGATATTGTATATTAACTTTGTAGTGTGTCTTGAGATTGAACTGAAGACAGAATTGATATGAAATATGAAGATTTGAATTAAGCATTTAAAGAAGTGTTCAGAATTCAGGATTTTCAATTGATTGAAGAGAAAGATTCAGAGATATACACATATGAAGTAATTGTTCACAGAAGTTATCAGATGAGAGTTGTGAAATCAGAGTACTGATATATGATTATTTTTACATAATTTCCTTCAAATTAGAAAGTTAGCATTATCAAAAATTGTTATCTGATAGAGTAACTTATCAGCTTAGTAGTAATCTTCTGATTATTTTTCTTTTATTGTCTGCATTCTGATGACTTCAGATGTCGGGAAATTCCTTCAGAGTCATGATCAGTTTATGATGAATATTTCTGAATGAAGTTGCAGTGATTATAGCAGAGAGATGACTCTTCAGTAATCTGCAATACAATATATTGATAATTATTTCATAGTTGATCTCAGTGTTTGTGTTGAGTTTTTCATAAATTTCATGACCTGGAATCAGATATGAAGAATGAAGTGATTATTCATTATAATTGAAAGAGAGTATTCTGTGTTGAATTGTAAACAACATAGACTTTATAATTCACAGTGATTTCTTGAAGAGTTTGTGAATCTTCAATAGAAGTAAAAGAAGTGAAAGAAGTGAATTCAGAAGATATAATAATAATTTGAGAAAGATGATAATTTATTTTCAATAACTGATCACTGATGTGTGTAAGAAGAATTAATATAAGAGAAAATAATCTTGTTTCTTAGCTTAGTTATAATTTTAGTACTAACTCAGATTGAATATCATTGATGTATAAAAGTAAACAAACAATCTTGATTAATCTCTGTCATATTTCTTGAAATATATTAATATTGTGAAAGAGAGTGTTACTAAATTACATTATCAGATAATATCATTAAAAATATATTAATAATTGTGAATATCAATGTTGAAAAAATGTTGATACTTATACATTATAGATATATATATATATATATATTATTCCTGACTTGATTACAACTTGTACAATAATTTTTAAAAACTCAAAATTAATTTCAATTATTAATAATTATGAACTTATAACTAACTAATATAAAAAGAAAAAAATCTTTTCTACTCATTATCTTTCTACTCTTTCTCATTCTTCTTATCATTCTTCATAATTCACTTCTTATTCTTCTTCTTCTTCTTCTTCTTCTCATCTGAGATAATAATCACCTCAAAATCTCTCTTCACTGCCTGCTCAGAAGAGGGTTTCTGCTGCTTCTTCTCAGCCAGGTCAATCTGTGCCTCAAAATCCTGCATTTCCTAGTCTGCTGCCTCGGGTTCCACCTCAGCAGTAAGCAGATTGACATGCTCAGAGAGCAGAGCTGTCTTCTCAATGTTCTGAATTATGAAGTGCATTTGAGACCTGAATAAGGTCTCAATCTCCTTCTTCTCTGTCAGCTTCTGCTAATTAATTAGAGAACAGAAGTGTTATCAAAAATTATTATCTCTCAATAAATAAAAAACTTATCAGTTTTAACTTCTTTATCTCTCACTTTAACACTCTCTCAATCTTCTTCTATTATCACTTATTTATAGCAACACTCTTCTTCTCTCTTTCTCTCTTCATCTTAGTCTCAAATCATTCTTGAGACTTCTTCTGATTTTATCACTGCTGTATAAGACTCTTCACTGTCTTCTTCTTCAATCTCTCACAGATGGCGTCATCTGCATTATTTCTATACTTAGTTCAGTCTAAATCTATCAGAAGTATTACTTAAAATCATTATTATTCTGCTCTCTTACAGAGTCTCTTCAAGGCATTATAATATATCTTATAATCTGTCTCCTCTCACTTGAACATCTTCTTCTTCTCTTTCTTCAATCTGTGACAGTGCTCACACACCTTGATGGTCTGCAGAACCGCAGAATATTTGAAGAGAAATGACATGATTGATTTTAATAAGTGTTGAAGAAGGATAAAGGCAGGAGAGGCAGTTAAAAATGATATGATAATAGTGATAATAATAATAATGATGATGATAATCATAGTAATAATAGTGATGATGATGATGATGATGATGATGATGATAATAATGAAAGAAGAAGTGTATTGAAATATATTACTGACTTATCAAATATAAAGAGACTTAAAGAAAATATTAACAGCTTTCAGTGATGTACAGAAACAGCTACAGTATTGTATAGTAACATCATCTTCATTCAATGCATGCACTATTGATATTCTTTGTATGCAGTTATCATATAATCTGTATCAGAGATATATGCAGAAAACAGATCTTTGTTACTAGAACAAATAATTACAGCAATTCTCTATTTTCATATTATAAAGATAAGTTATTCTCATTTCTTTCTTCTCTCATTTCTCTTCTTCAATCAACCACTAATTTCAAGCTGATATGAAAACTATTAAAACACTCTCAGAAACCCTCAAATTGAAGAGTATAGACTAATCAAATTTCAAATGCAGAAGAAATCAAATTATCTTCTATAGATTCAATTATTCATTCTCTCTTAAATAAAACAGTAGTCGCATCCCTCTTCCCCTCTCAACTAAATGAAACATGGCCCGTGAAAAGCGAGTACCACATCAGGTCATAATGACCAACACAGCCTCAGCACACAGGGCTGCATATACACAGTGTGTGCTGAACTGAGAGACTGCATGAATTGTAAACTGACAGCAGCATCACAGAGAGAGCTGTGCAGTGTGAGAAAGCTGCAACTCTCAGTCACATGCACAGAGAATGAATTATTACAGTAAGTGTATATGCATTGAAGTAATACTTTTTGATAACACTCAGTCTCTGATATGATGAAAATAGAGTCTCTTTATGAGATCTATTTCTATCAGAAGTCAGAGAATCTTATATTTTTCAAGGTCATCTTCACATGTCTTATCTGTGAAATTGATGAAGAGAATCATTGATTTCAGTGTTCTATTCTTGATGTCATTCAAGTGGCAGCAGAGTTCACCCTGACCACACTTTTTAAGTGTATGTTTTCTAATTATTCACATTTATATAGATATATACTGATTATTTATTAGATGATGTTAAGACAATGACTCATCACAGCTGTGTTATTCTCACTGTGAGAGATACATGATTAATGATGAACATTGTGAAGACTCTGAAGAGTGAGTATTTTAAGAGTGCTGTGACTCTGTGATCTTGATTTTTTTTTATTTTTATTTTTTATTTTTTTATTTTTCTTTTCTTTTTTCATTTTTTTTTTCTTTCTCTTTCTTTCTCTTTTTTTCTTTCTCTTCTTTTTTTCTTTCTCTTTTTTTTTTTTTTTTTTTTGTTGTGATTTTTTCTTGTTGTTTTATTTTTTATTTTTTTGTTATTTTTTATATTTTATATTTTTTTTTTAATTAAAATGATATTGATTATGATCTGTGTTCAGAAAAGTAATGATATTTGATAACACTCTCTGTTAAATTTTCAACAAATGAGCACTATGTTATGATATTATGTAATTGAGAAATGATTTCATAGTCTCATTTGATGCCATTTTCAATAATGAAATCAGAATGAAAATGTGACTAAGAATTCAAATATATTCTTTATCTGAGACTAGATTTTTATTTGAAAAGTGAATCTGAGACCTTTAATATTTGAAATAATGAGATTTGAGATTAATGTGATGAACACAAACCATGACCAGAAGGAATGCTTTTAGACAATGTGACAACTGTAAAGTTTGATCCTGGTCTCAGACACGGTTACACGGTCAGTCTACTTATAATCATATGTCTTTATATCTAAGAAACTGAGTTCTACTGAATGTAATTATGAAATCTATAATAAGACACTTCTCATGATTGTACACTATCTAGAAGAATAAGACTCTGTACTTCAAAGTGTCTCTGAATTTAAGACAATCACAGATTATAAGAATCTTAAGCACTTTACAACTACTTATAAACTCATTAAATAGCAGATGCAATAATCTGAGTTCTTAAGCTGCTTTTATTTTACAATACACTACTGTTCTGATAGCCAGCACTCGATGATAGATGCTCTCTCACAATGAGAGCAAGATATGCCATTCAATGTAACAGATACTTACTGAATAACAATGAACAGCGCTTCACCACGAACTCGCTCAATTTTTCGAATAAGAACCTGCCGATAGATTCATCGAAAAGCCCTCGATCATACAAGCATTTTGACCCCATCGCCGACCGCATACCCCGTGTGATAGTGGAGTTATCCAGCCAAACATGAATCAGATGTTGTTCAAAACTCCTGTGTGGGATTATCCCCTGTTTACCCCTATCACATCACAACTCTGGGCCAAATTGCCATACAAATTGTAAGGCAAAGAGACCTAGTCATATGAACAAATCTTCTTGATTTTGAAAGATCTCTGACCTGTAATTGTGAAGATATCTGAGAAGCAACTTTTGTAAAAACCCTGTCTATCTTTGATGTTTCAAAACATCAATGCCAAGTCTCACCCATGTATCACCCTTCTCAATCTGGCTCATGTTCAGCAGAAAAATACAAAAAGATATCTCAGTAATAGTATCAAGCACATAATCAATGAACACATCTGAAGTGTATTCTCTGTGAAAAACCCTCTCTGTCTTTACACCAAGTCTCACCCTTGTACCGCCCCTTCTGATCTGGCTCATCCCTGGCAGAAAAGTACAAAAAGATACCTCAGCAACTGTATTCAATACATAATCAGCAGATACAACAACTATAAAATCAGTATATTGCAAGATCTGACTGAGCCTTTGATCCCTGCATATTAAGATATATTAAATCTAGTTTTAATATCTCAATATTTAATAGATTCTGCAAGAAATTGAGAACAGCAATACTAGCTTTCTATTGAATTTAAGAATTAACTCTATATTGATATAATTATGGACAAAGTCTTCTATTTTGAGATATAAATAACCAGTTCCTCTACATCCTGCTGATAATATATATATTATCATATAGAAACAGACTTATATTCTCAATAATATCAAGACTCTGAAGAGGAAAAGTCTTGATAGAGAGTGTGGCGGGCTGCGCCCGATCAATTATATAGACTATTCCGTTGCACTTCACAGATTTCAACTGCTTCATTCTCAAATGTGTACACTCTGATTCTCAGCCATTCTTGAACACATACACCCCGATTCTCAGCCATTCTCAATTGCCAATTCTCAGCTGCTATGAATGTGTATAGATTCTTCCACTCTGAAGCTTCATCACATACATCATCACATATGTGTATAAATATTCACTTTGATCACTGATTCTTGCACTTTCGCTTTCTTTTTCTTCTCTAATATTTTTCTCTTTGTTATATAAGATCTATCAATATCATACTGATCTATTCAGTGTAGGCCTCTTACACTAGAAAAATGTTTATCATCTTCTTATTAGAAATGATTATTCACATATCATCTTCTCATTAGAAATAATTATTCATCAAGAGATATCTGAACATATAATATCATGTAAGAAAGAGAAACACAGTCAAGCAGACACTGAGTTCTCAGATAGAAGCTTGCTCATCAGTCACCCTGGCCTTATAATAAGATTATACAAAGAGAATATCAGTGAAAGACCTGAGAGTTCTGACACTCAGACATATGAGATATTTATATAATTACACTTATTCAAGATTTCACAGATATTATACACTCAATGAATGACATGTTTAACAACAATATAAGAGAACTCTAAAATACAAGTATAGAAGTAATATCACAGTGACTTCAAGAAATGTTGAAATTACAACAGTAATAAATAGCTGATATATATATAACTCAACAACATTAATATGAAGAGATTCAATAATTATTACAATAAGAAACTCATGCAATTTCAACACCTATAGAATTGAGTATAAAAGTACTGAAAGAACACTTAGATGCTTCTGTATATTTCAATACTTCTGATCTCACTCTCTACTCATCATGAAGAATGAAAATGCTTATGAAACTGAGTGTGAATGAAGATGTTATTAGTTCACTAATCAATCAAGATTGATATATCAATGAACAATTGAAGAATCACATGAAATAGAAGTATCATTTATAAATGAAAGCATGTGAATCAGCATTGTGAACATCTGATAATATTATGAAACATCTTGATATGCTGTTCTAAGACACTGTCATACAACAGAAGATATTAGATTGATTATAGAGTATCTAATAGAGAATCACTTCTCTTACAATATTCATTCCTGACTTTGATATCAAGATTCTAGAAGCAGGTGATCAATCTTGAGAGAATTGAATGAAGAATAGCATGCTCAAGAAGATATTCACTTTTGAACTCTTACAGACTCTTGTAAGTGTAAACAAAGACCAGACTTATGACAACTTCTGCACACAGCTTCAGACATTGAATAATCATCATATCAAGCTCAAGAGTATGCAGAACAGTGATAGAAGATGTTATATCTCAGTCACTTATACACCTGCGTCAAAGAATAACAATGATGCAAATGCTATGAATTGAGTAGACTTAAATATCTACACACAAGCAAGAGTCTCTGCTGTCTGAACAAGCTTCTGAGTTCCTGGGATCACTTCTGAAGAAGTCACTGATCAATGACAATAAGAAGTGTGCATCAACTGTAACTGATTGAAGCATATTGCTTTTAACTGTTGATCAGTCTATGTGTCTCCTCACTCAAAGAATGAATCAGCACCTGTCTGTGTCAATCACATTACATTAGAGGAGGATTTGAAAGATAACTATAAGAATGCTCTGATGAAACAGAGAAAAGATTAGCTTCTATTCAAATTCATAAACAGAAGCTTGAAGAGATTGAATGACAATAATTTAAAGAGAAAATAATAATAAATGTGATTCTTGTATCTACTATAGTTGATAACATATATAATATAAAAGCTATGATAGACAGTGATCTATGTTATTATATAATGATTAAATCTTCAGTTGTAAGATA